GTGTCTTGTGCAGTGCAGTGCAGTGTAATGAGGGTGTGTGTGTGTGTGTGTGTTTTGTGCAGTGCAGTGTAATGAGGGTGTGTGTGTGTTGTGCAGTGTAATGAGGGTGTGTGTGTGTGTGTGTCTTGTGCAGTGCAGTGCAGTGTAATGAGGGTGTGTGTGTGTGTGTGTCTTGTGCAGTGCAGTGTAATGAGGGTGTGTGTGTGTTGTGCAGTGTAATGAGGGTGTGTGTGTGTGTGTGTGTGTTGTACAGTGTAATGACTGTGTGCGTGTGTCTTGTGCAGTGTAATGAGAGTGTGTGTGTGTGTTGTGCTGTGCAGTGTAATGAGAGTGTGTGTGTGTGTGTTGTGCAGTGTAATGAGGGTGTGTGTGTGTTGTGCAGTGTAATGAGAGTGTGTGTGTGTGTTGTGCAGTGTAATGAGAGTGTGTGTGTGTTGTGCAGTGTAATGAGAGTGTGTGTGTGTGTGTGTTGTGCAGTGTAATGAGAGTGTGTGTGTGTGTTGTGCAGTGTAATGAGGGTGTGTGTGTGTTGTGCAGTGTAATGAGGGTGTGTGTGTGTGTGTGTCTTGTGCAGTGCAGTGTAATGAGAGTGTGTGTGTGTTGTGCAGTGTAATGAGGGTGTGTGTGTGTTGTGCAGTGTAATGAGGGTGTGTGTGTGTGTGTGTTGTGCAGTGTAATGAGGGTGTGTGTGTCTTGTGCAGTGTAATGAGGGTGTGTGTGTGTGTGTGTGTGTTGTGCAGTGTAATGAGGGTGTGTGTGTGTGTGTGTGTCTTGTGCAGTGCAGTGTAATGAGAGTGTGTGTGTGTTGTGCAGTGTAATGAGGGTGTGTGTGTGTTGTGCAGTGTAATGAGGGTGTGTGTGTGTTGTGCAGTGTAATGAGGGTGTGTGTGTGTTGTGCAGTGTAATGAGGGTGTGTGTGTGTGTGTGTCTTGTGCAGTGCAGTGTAATGAGAGTGTGTGTGTGTTGTGCAGTGTAATGAGGGTGTGTGTGTGTGTGTGTTGTGCAGTGTAATGAGGGTGTGTGTGTCTTGTGCAGTGCAGTGTAATGAGAGTGTGTGTGTGTGTTGTTCAGTGTAATGAGGGTGTGTGTGTGTTGTGCAGTGTAATGAGGGTGTGTGTGTGTGTGTGTGTTGTTCAGTGTAATGAGGGTGTGTGTGTGTTTTGCAGTGTAATGAGGGTGTGTGTTGTGCAGTGTAATGAGGGTGTGTGTGTGTTGTGCAGTGTAATGAGGGTGTGTGTGTGTTGTGCAGTGTAATGAGGGTGTGTGTGTGTGTGTCTTGTGCAGTGTAATGAGGGTGTGTGTGTGTGTCTTGTGCAGTGCAGTGTAATGAGAGTGTGTGTGTGTTGTGCAGTGTAATGAGGGTGTGTGTGTGTGTCTTGTGCAGTGCAGTGTAATGAGAGTGTGTGTGTGTTGTGCAGTGTAATGAGGGTGTGTGTGTGTGTGTGTCTTGTGCAGTGCAGTGTAATGAGAGTGTGTGTGTGTGTGTTGTGCAGTGTAATGAGGGTGTGTGTGTGTGTTGTGCAGTGTAATGAGGGTGTGTGTGTGTGTCTTGTGCAGTGCAGTGTAATGAGAGTGTGTGTGTGTGTGTTGTGCAGTGTAATGAGGGTGTGTGTGTGTTGTGCAGTGTAATGAGAGTGTGTGTGTGTTGTGCAGTGTAATGAGAGTGTGTGTGTGTGTTGTGCAGTGTAATGAGGGTGTGTGTGTGTGTCTTGTGCAGTGCAGTGTAATGAGAGTGTGTGTGTGTTGTGCAGTGTAATGAGGGTGTGTGTGTGTTGTGCAGTGTAATGAGGGTGTGTGTGTGTTGTGCAGTGTAATGAGGGTGTGTGTGTGTGTGTGTGTGTCTTGTGCAGTGCAGTGTAATGAGAGTGTGTGTGTGTGTTGTGCAGTGTAATGAGGGTGTGTGTGTGAGTGTGTGTGTTGTGCAGTGTAATGAGGGTGTGTGTGTGTTGTGCAGTGTAATGAGGGTGTGTGTGTGTTGTGCAGTGTAATGAGGGTGTGTGTGTGTTGTGCAGTGTAATGAGGGTGTGTGTGTGTTGTGCAGTGTAATGAGGGTGTGTGTGTGTGTGTGTGTGTGTGTGTCTTGTGCAGTGCAGTGTAATGAGAGTGTGTGTGTGTGTTGTGCAGTGTAATGAGGGTGTGTGTTGTGCAGTGTAATGAGGGTGTGTGTGTGTTGTGCAGTGTAATGAGGGTGTGTGTGTGTTGTGCAGTGTAATGAGGTTGTGTGTGTGTGTCTTGTGCAGTGCAGTGTAATGAGAGTGTGTGTGTGTTGTGCAGTGCAGTGTAATGAGGGTGTGTGTGTGTGTCTTGTGCAGTGCAGTGTAATGAGAGTGTGTGTGTGTTGTGCAGTGTAATGAGGGTGTGTGTGTGTGTTGTGCAGTGTAATGAGGGTGTGTGTGTGTTGTGCAGTGTAATGAGAGTGTGTGTGTGTTGTGCAGTGTAATGAGAGTGTGTGTGTGTGTTGTGCAGTGTAATGAGAGTGTGTGTGTGTTGTGCAGTGTAATGAGGGTGTGTGTGTGTGTGTGTTGTGCAGTGTAATGAGGGTGGGTGTGTGTGTTGTGCAGTGTAATGAGGGTGTGTGTGTGTGTTGTGCAGTGTAATGAGGGTGTGTGTGTGTTGTGCAGTGTAATGAGAGTGTGTGTGTGTTGTGCAGTGTAATGAGAGTGTGTGTGTGTGTTGTGCAGTGTAATGAGGGTGTGTGTGTGTGTGTGTGTGTGTTGTGCAGTGTAATGAGAGTGTGCGTGTGTTGTGCAGTGTAATGAGAGTGTGTGTGTGTTGTGCAGTGTAATGAGGGTGTGTGTGTGTTGTGCAGTGTAATGAGGGTGGGTGTGTGTGTTGTGCAGTGTAATGAGGGTGTGTTTGTTGTGCAGTGTAATGAGGGTGTGTGTGTGTTGTGCAGTGTAATGAGAGTGTGTGTGTGTTGTGCAGTGTAATGAGGGTGTGGGTGTGTTGTGCAGTGTAATGAGAGTGTGTGTGTGTGTTGTGCAGTGTAATGAGGGTGTGTGTGTGTTGTGCAGTGTAATGAGAGTGTGTGTGTGTGTTGTGCAGTGTAATGAGGGTGTGTGTGTGTTGTGCAGTGTAATGAGAGTGTGCGTGTGTTGTGCAGTGTAATGAGGGTGTGTGTGTGTTGTGCAGTGTAATGAGGGTGTGTGTGTGTGTGTGTGTCTTGTGCAGTGCAGTGTAATGAGAGTGTGTGTGTGTGTGTTGTGCAGTGTAATGAGGGTGTGTGTGTGTTGTGCAGTGTAATGAGGGTGTGTGTGTGTTGTGTGTCTTGTGCAGTGCAGTGTAATGAGAGTGTGTGTGTGTGTTGTGCAGTGTAATGAGGGTGTGTGTGTGTGTGTGTCTTGTGCAGTGCAGTGTAATGAGAGTGTGTGTGTGTGTTGTGCAGTGTAATGAGGGTGTGTGTTGTGCAGTGTAATGAGGGTGTGTGTTGTGCAGTGTAATGAGGGTGTGTGTGTGTTGTGCAGTGTAATGAGGGTGTGTGTGTGTTGTGCAGTGTAATGAGGGTGTGTGTGTGTTGTGCAGTGTAATGAGGGTGTGTGTGTGTTGTGCAGTGTAATGAGAGTGTGTGTGTGTTGTGCAGTGTAATGAGGGTGTGTGTGTGTTGTGCAGTGTAATGAGGGTGTGTGTGTGTTGTGCAGTGTAATGAGGGTGTGTGTGTGTTGTGCAGTGTAATGAGGTTGTGTGTGTGTGTCTTGTGCAGTGTAATGAGGGTGTGTGTGTGTGTGTCTTGTGCAGTGCAGTGTAATGAGAGTGTGTGTGTGTTGTGCAGTGTAATGAGAGTGTGTGTGTGTTGTGCAGTGTAATGAGAGTGTGTGTGTGTGTGTTGTGCAGTGTAATGAGAGTGTGTGTGTGTTGTGCAGTGTAATGAGGGTGTGTGTGTGTTGTGCAGTGTAATGAGGGTGTGTGTGTGTTGTGCAGTGTAATGAGAGTGTGCGTGTGTTGTGCAGTGTAATGAGGGTGTGTGTGTGTTGTGCAGTGTAATGAGGGTGTGTGTGTGTGTGTGTGTGTTGTGCAGTGTAATGAGAGTGTGCGTGTGTTGTGCAGTGTAATGAGGGTGTGTGTGTGTGTGTGTGTTGTGCAGTGTAATGAGAGTGTGTGTGTGTTGTGCAGTGTAATGAGAGTGTGTGTGTGTGTGTTGTGCAGTGTAATGAGGGTGTGTGTATGTTGTGCAGTGTAATGAGGGTGTGTGTGTGTGTGTGTTGTGCAGTGTAATGAGAGTGTGCGTGTGTTGTGCAGTGTAATGAGGGTGTGTGTGTGTGTGTGTTGTGCAGTGTAATGAGAGTGTGCGTGTGTGTTGTGCAGTGTAATGAGGGTGTGTGTGTGTTGTGCAGTGTAATGAGGGTGTGTGTGTGTGTTGTGCAGTGTAATGAGGGTGTGTGTGTGTTGTGCAGTGTAATGAGGGTGTGTGTGTGTGTTGTGCAGTGTAATGAGGGTGTGTGTGTGTTTTGCAGTGTAATGAGGGTATGTGTGTGTTGTGCAGTGTAATGAGGGTGTGTGTGTGTTGTGCAGTGTAATGAGGGTGTGTGTGTGTTGTGCAGTGTAATGAGGGTGTGTGTGTGTGTTTTGCAGTGTAATGAGGGTGTGTGTGTGTTGTGCAGTGTAATGAGGGTGTGTGTGTGTTGTGCAGTGTAATGAGGGTGTGTGTGTGTTTTGCAGTGTAATGAGGGTGTGTGTGTGTTGTGCAGTGTAATGAGGGTGTGTGTGTGTGTGTGTTGTGCAGTGTAATGAGAGTGTGTGTGTGTTGTGCAGTGTAATGAGAGTGTGTGTGTGTGTTGTGCAGTGTAATGAGGGTGTGTGTGTGTTGTGCAGTGTAATGAGGGTGTGTGTGTGTGTGTGTTGTGCAGTGTAATGAGGGTGTGTGTGTGTTGTGCAGTGTAATGAGGGTGTGTGTGTGTTGTGCAGTGTAATGAGTGTGTGTGTGTGTTTGTCTTGTGCAGTGTAATGAGGGTGTGTGTGTGTTGTGCAGTGTAATGAGGGTGTGTGTGTGTGTGTGTGTGTAGGACGGCAGCGGTGTGCTCCAGCGCAGCGGCTCCATCGGGCGGCTCAGAGACGTGTTGCGCAGGAGCAGTGAGAGACTCGTGAAGAAACTACAGGGCAGCGGACCAGCAGACACACACAACAGCACGTATGAACACACACACACACACACAACAGCACGTATGAACACACACACACACACACAACAGCACGTATGAACACACACACACACACACACAACAGCACGTATGAACACACACACACACACACAACAGCACGTATGAACACACACACACAACAGCACGTATGAACACACACACACACACACACACACACAACAGCACGTATGAACACACACACACACACACAACAGCACGTATGAACACACACACACAACAGCACGTATGAACACACACACACACATACAACAGCACGTATGAACACACACACACACACACACAACAGCACGTATGAACACACACACACCCTACACACACACAACAGCACGTATGAACACACACACACACAACAGCACGTATGAACACACACACACAACAGCACGTATGAACACACACACACACATACAACAGCACGTATGAACACACACACACACACAACAGCACGTATGAACACACACACACACACACACACAACAGCACGTATGAACACACACACACACATACAACAGCACATATGAACACACACACACACACACAACAGCACGTATGAACACACACACACACACACAACAGCGTGTTCTCGTCTGGTTTGTAATTAAACACATTATAGCAGTCGCAGCATTCGATTACTTGGCTCGTGATGATGGAATGATGAATGATTTTCGTGTGTGTGTGTGTGTGTGTGTGCGTTTACACTTCCGCTCAAAAGTTTGGAATAATTACGTTTTGAGTCTCTTCTGCTCACCAAGAGTTGTTGGTATGTTTTGCTGTGTGTATTTGATGTGTCTGCTTCCTCTACAGAATGAAGCGCGCCGCTTCCCTGAACGTCCTGAACAAGCCGACTGACGAGTCCTACCAGGTGATGATGTCACTCACACTGATGATGCCACTCACACTGATGATGATGTCACTCACACTGATGATGCCACTCACACTGATGATGTCACTCACACTGATGATGTCACTCACACTGATGATGCCACTCACACTGATGATGCCACTCACACTGATGATGATGTCACTAACACTGATGATGATGTCACTCACACACTGATGATGTCACTCACACACTGATGATGATGTCACTCACACTGATGATGATGTCACTCACACTGATGATGATGTCACTCACACTGATGATGTCACTAACACTGATGATGTCACTCACACTGATGATGCCACTCACACTGATGATTATGTCACTAACACTGATGACGTCACTCACACTGATGATGATGTCACTCACACTGATGATGTCACTAACACTGATGATGTCACTCACACACTGATGATGATGTCACTCACACTGATGATTATGTCACTAACACTGATGATGTCACTCACACTGATGATGATGTCACTCACACTGATGATGCCACTAACACTGATGATGTCACTCACACTGATGATGTCACTCACACTGATGATGTCACTAACACTGATGATGCCACTCACACTGATGATTATGTCACTAACACTGATGATGTCACTCACACTGATGATGTCACTCACACTGATGATGTCACTCACACTGATGATGTCACTCACACTGATGATGCCACTCACACTGATGATGTCACTCACACTGATGATGATGTCACTCACACTGATGATGCCACTAACACTGATGATGTCACTCACACTGATGATGCCACTCACACTGATGATGATGTCACTAACACTGATGATGATGTCACTCACACACTGATGATGTCACTCACACACTGATGATGATGTCACTCACACTGATGATTATGTCACTAACACTGATGATGTCACTCACACTGATGATGTCACTCACACTGATGATGCCACTCACACTGATGATTATGTCACTAACACTGATGATGTCACTCACACTGATGATGATGTCACTCACACTGATGATGTCACTAACACTGATGATGTCACTCACACACTGATGATGTCACTCACACACTGATGATGATGTCACTAACACTGATGATGTCACTAACACTGATGATGTCACTCACACTGATGATGATGTCACTCACACTGATGATGATGTCACTCACACACTGATGATGTCACTCACACACTGATGATGATGTCACTCACACTGATGATTATGTCACTAACACTGATGATGTCACTCACACTGATGATGTCACTAACACTGATGATGCCACTCACACTGATGATGATGTCACTAACACTGATGATGATGTCACTCACACACTGATGATGTCACTCACACACTGATGATGATGTCACTCACACTGATGATTATGTCACTAACACTGATGATGTGACTCACACTGATGATGCCACTCACACTGATGATGTCACTCACACTGATGATGTCACTAACACTGATGATGCCACTCACACTGATGATGTCACTCACACTGATGATGTCACTAACACTGATGATGCCACTCACACTGATGATTATGTCACTAACACTGATGATGTCACTCACACTGATGATGATGTCACTCACACTGATGATGTCACTCACACTGATGATGATGTCACTCACACTGATGATGTCACTCACACTGATGATGTCACTCACACTGATGATGTCACTCACACTGATGATGTCACTCACACGATGATGTCACTCACACTGATGATGATGTCACTCACACTGATGATGTCACTAACACTGATGATGTCACTCACACACTGATGATGTCACTGACACTGATGATGTCACTAACTCTGATGATGTGACACACTGATGATGTCACTAACACTGATGATGTCACTCACACTGATGATTATAAATACATTGTCTTTGAATATGTAAAGTGTTTGGTGTGCAACAGCCCGTCAGTGGAGCTGATGTTGATGTCAGACGACGGTTCATGTTTCATCTCTCGTTGTGTGTGTGTGTGTGTGTGTGTGTGTGTGTGTGTGTGTGTGTTCAGACTCTGGGCGGCAGACGACTGAGAGACAGCCGAGGTTTGAGCTCCAGTGATGTGGATCTGTACAACAGCAGCTAACCCTGTGCTCGACCAAACACTGCGCTACACACACACTCACGCACACACACTCACACACACACACACACACACTCCCTTTCTCATGTAAAGCCATAAACCCTTCTGCTCGAGGGGAACTGACGCTGCTTTGGTTAGTGAGCAGTAATGATCCAGGAACTGTACAACACTAGAGTTGCAGTAGAGTTGTGTTGTTTACATGGACGCCTGTTAGAACTTCACTGGAGATGATGATCATGATCTGCTGATATCTGTGCCAGAGGAGCGGAGACCTGGAGTGCCTTTCGCCTGTTTATGGGGATCTACAAACTCAGTAAGAAAAACTGAATGTGAGAGAATTTGCAGTGATGAAATAATGAAGATCATATAATAATCAGCACTGCTTTATTCTGTGCGGAGGGTGTTTAAATGCCGTCTGTTCTCAGGGGACACACACACACACTCACTCTCTCTTACACAGACACACACACACTCACACACACGTGACGCTGCGTCTCAGAAAGGTCAATATATCATGAATAATCAGTTCATATTTGTATAATGTGCAGCACAGATATGAGGTTATATCTACAGAAACTAGATATCTGGGTAATAATCTGTGCAAATGGAACAAGACTGCACATAAAACCAGTGAATAATGTCACCTTGAACCATGTTTTGCTACTTATATTTCCAGATGCTTTACGCAGGGCATCACTTCATCAATGTTATAACTCTTCACTGGAAACACAGTTGGTATCAGGGTTTTCTATATTTCAGTAAGTGGGTTATTGCATGAATATTATCTATATATATTTGAACTCGTTCAGGTTGCTGTACTAATGCTGTGAGTCACGTGCTTGAACACTGAAACACTGAGTCCGAGATCACACTGATGATCATCAGTCCGCCGTTACAGGACCTCATGCTGACTTATGGATGTTTATGGGTTACAATATTTTTTGGGTGTAAATATTATGGATGATCCTCTCAGTTTGTAAGTGTATATTTTAGAAAGAGCAACAGAAAGACACTGAGGATTGAGCTGATTTTATATTGGTGTTTTACTGGTAAACGAATCCAGGCGTTCTCAGGCGAGGAAGAGGATTCTGGGAGAAAATGCCGTTGTTACTTTGATATGATCATCTGAGATTATGATTATGATGATATAGTGATATATGTGTCTCTGTGCCATCAAACCATTTTTTTGTTGTTGAAAATGTCGACCAAAGCTGCCGTCCGCTTGAGGAGAAATGATGTTCTTTGAGATTATATTTCTGATATTAGTGTCTGATCTGAGATCTGGTTCTTCAGGAGGTTTATCTGTAATCTAGTTTCCATAATGCTCAATGGGTCAAGAAAATAATGTTCTCAAGACAATAATAAATTGTGCCAATTTTTACACTCCTGTCTAAGATTATTTTACTTCCTTTAAAACATTTCTCATTGTAAAATTACAGTTAGAAGGTCATTTCTATAATGCAGATTTTTTTTGTCGTTAATTTTGTAAAGCAAAACAATATTAGACAAATCTGCAGCTCAGTTGGAGTAGATTATTATTCTGTGGTTAGACTATATAATATGATATCACGCATATTTATTTCAGTATGTGAGCAGTGGAATGCAGTGCGCGCGCGCGCTTCCCGCCTAAACAGGTTCTTTGCCGCCACAAAAAAAGCGCGCGCTTCCGACATCATTCAAAAATTGGACTGAGGGATGTAAAAATATATATATCTTGCATCACTATAAGTGTATTGTGATTGTCAAAACATTTTAGTTACTAAACAGATTTTTATAAGGTTTAGTGACAACATGTTCCAATGTTTAGGCCTAGATGGTCTACAATCTCTGGTAAGCTACTTTTTTTTTTTATTATTGCTTTGACACATTTCACGATTTCAATTCAATTATTGTGATTTGATTCAATATTGACTCGTTTGGAAAAATATTATGTACACATGATAGGCGTTAATTATTCTCAAGAAAATATAATGCTGTAAACATACAGAGAGCCCTATCAGCTGTAGTGTTAAGGTTAAAAATACCTCAAATTAAATATTTATGCGTTTTTTATTATTATAACAACTTTATTTTAATGATATGTCAAAATATAATAAATATGTAATATTGGCTACACATTTAGCAAAATACGCTCTATTTTCTAGCCAACTGGTGCTGTATATCATGGTCATTAAATGGCTTTCCTGAGGTAAAGTTTTATGATTCTCCTGCTGTTTTATTGACATCTTTACACAGATTGATCGATATTATGTATGAGGAATATACATTTTCGGTAAATTACTGTATATTTCAACATTGTTCATCCGTGATTACTGTAAGCTAGTAGAGATGAGTTCACGAGGCGCTAGGATCTGTCACGTCACATTTACAAGCGCCAAAACGGCATTTATTGTTTTGAATTTCGTAATAGAATTGACAGAATCTGAGAGCTGAGATTTTTAATATCATATCTGCTCTGTCCTGTCTGTCGGTGTCCTCTTTGCTTTGCGAGTTTTCTGTGCGTGAGAGCATGTGTGTGTGTGTGTATGTCGTGAGAGAGTGTGTGAAGTGTGTGCGTGAGTCTCGCGGTGAATGCGTGAGAGCATATGATATGTGTGTGTGTGTGTGTGTGTGTGTGTGTGTCGTGAGAGTGTGTGTGAAGTGTGTATCGCGTGAGAGTTGGCGGCCCTGGAAACAATCGGTGTCATTAAATCCACTTGTTTGTTCTCAGTTTGAACGCTCTAATTTCCTTTCATTTATTTTCAATATCTGAGGTGAATTATCGGCTATATAAAGGACACGAAAAATGATATTCAAACTCCCACAATATGTTATTTTATCATTATATAACGCATATAACAGTCCCTTAAATAATTGTCATAGTTTGATTGTTGTTTTCCAGCCGCTGCTGCTTCGGACAAAAACTCTGATTAATATGGAAAATATGTTTTTTTTTTTTGCCTGCGCGTTTAGGTCAACTTACGGGGTTTATAGGCTATGCTTTTACAGAAGTGTTTTGGACACCATCACCATCAAGCGTACATTCAAACAGTTGTTTTATGAAGAGAAAGAGATAAATCAGTTCAGTATGTGGTCGTTGTTTCCCGGTGCTGCCAGCGGGATGCAGCATTGGACCCGTTACCGAACACGAGCGAGAGAGCCGAAACCGGAAGCTGGAGAGAGAGAGAGAGAGAGAGAGAGAGAGAGAGAGAGAGAGAGAGAGAGAGAGAGAGAGAGAGAGAGAGAGAGAACCCGGGACCGAGGAAAGTGACCCGCAGTTTCTCACGGACTACAGGCGGATCCCGGGAAGAGCACCGAGACTCCTCAGGAATACCGCGATCCCTCCCCGGACTCCTCTAATGTCATCGAGCTCATAGCGCGCGTCAGTTACAGCTCAGTCTGTGGTGAAGGAGAATAACCGTCATTTCTGCGCACTTTGTGAACGCGTCTGACCTGCGCAGCTGCACCTGCGCGTCCCGGAAACATGGACGGATCACCGGGGACCGACACCGAGAGGAGCTCCAGAACAACACCATGCCGGACCGACACCGAGAGGAGCTCCAGAACAACACCATGCCGGACACGGAGACTCGACGGGAGTATGCGAGCCTTCTTCATCATGTGTTTCAAAGGTAACATCGTTTCACCTGGACACACGCACACACACACACACACACACACACACACACACACAGCAGGTGAAGCATCAAGCTTTACTGGACTGAGTCTGGAGCGTATGGGAGCCCATTTCCGCCACATGAGGGAAAATCATGCTTTGGTGGTAAATCATAATTCAAAATCATCTTAATATGTCATTATTCTGACTTGGTATGTCATAATTAAGATGATATAATTTTAAAATGTAAAAACAAATACGTTACACTTTATTTTAAGTTGACATTGTTACAGTGTAATTACACAAACAAGTGCTGTAATATTAATTTAACTACATGCACTTATATAGTTCGGGTTAAGGGTTAAGGCTTGGTTTATGGTTAGTTACTTGTAATTATGCATAATTTACTGTTATTAGTAGGTACATGTAACATGTAACTACGTCACCTTAAAATTGTTACCCAAAAATTAAGTGATTTAAATTATGAGATAAAAAGGTGAAATTATGACTTTCTGTCTTTTTAAGTCATCATTTCGACTTTTAATGTCAATTTCAACTTAGTATGTTATAAATTTCAACTTTTTATCTCATAAATGACAGTTTATGTATAATTTAGCCTAGATTTTTTTATGATTTACAAAAGCATGATTTTTTCTTATGTGAAATGGGCTTCTATAATAACGCATTTCAGTATGTTTTCAGGAAAGGTTTCAGGAAAAGTTGAGCTGTGATGTTGAGATCTGAATTCATCATTTATTGCTTTATCATTTATTGGTTTATGACCGCAGATGATCAGTGTTTGTGGAAATGAGCTTCATATCTCCTGAATACCGATAGATTGTTTGTAAATGAACAGTCCAGATCCTGTACAAACCTTTAATATCGATCAGATGTCGGTTTTCAGCTGTGATTGAGCTGTCAGTGAGGATATCACATCCCATAATCACATAACATCACATCACAATTTGATATTTTGTTAACAAGGTTCGGGAGGAACACGTTCTAATGATCAAACAATCAAGTCATTCCAGCCAGCTGTCAGCAATCAGTAATCAACAGGTCCACTCAATCAGCACGAGTAAAGCCTATAAATATACTCAGTCGACTCACCCATATTCCTCGACAGTTTTCAGCATCCCTCCACCACCCCATCTCCTCACACTTGCCTAGTTATCTTCCTAAACAGAGATACGGGGGGAGCACTCTGGGTTCGGGCCCAATAGGCTTTATGCCGAGGGTCACGTGACCCAAGCCGGAAAACAGATCACATCGCTTCCGATTCAGGTCTTTTGTATGTGCTTCATGAAATTTTTTGCAATTTTACTCAAGATAACTTAAAAGGAGCAAGCAAAAATGAGCATAACCAATGTCCCTCGCATGTGGAGATTGATATTTAAAAGTTTTTTGATTTTTCTTCTTCACACTAACGTATAGATATTTAAAAAGCATAAAACACCAATAACAAAGTGAACTTAGTAGGTTAGCTGATTACCTTAAAAATCCATAGATATCATAGTTAGTTCTTACGGCCGTTAACACTTTCTCTGACAAGCGGATGCAATGAGACCTGTTTTCCGGTTTGGTCACGTGACGCTCGGCATAAAGCCTATTTCCGAGATCGGAGCCCTCCCCCCGGACAGCACGCCAAATACGCATAACCATTTATTCTTTGATCATTTGTAAGTGTGAACTCGTGAAATCACATCATCACATCACAATATCACATCATAACATCATCACATAACATCACATCATAACATCATCACATCATATCATAACATCATAACATCACATAATCACATAACATCACATCACAATATCACATCATAACATCACAGCATAACATCATCTCATAACATCATAACATCACATCACAATATCACATCATAATATCACAACATAACATCATCACATCATAACATCACATCACAATATCACATCATAACATCATCACATCACAATATCACATCATAACATCACAACATAACATCACATCACAATATCACATCATAACATCATCACATAACATCACATAATCACATAACATCATAACATCACATCATAACATAACATCACATAATCACATAACATCACATAATCACATAATCACATAACATCACATCACAATATCACATCATAACATCACAGCATAACATCATCACATCATATCATAACATCACATCATAACATAACATCACATCACAATATCACATCATAACATCACAACATAACATCACATCATCACATCATAACATAACATCATAACATCACAACATAACATAACATCATCACATAACATCACATCATAACATCATAACATCACATAATCACAACATCACATCACAATATCACATCATAACATCACAGCATAACATCATCACATCATATCATAACATCACATCATAACATAACATCACATCACAATATCACATCATAACATCACAACATAACATCATAACATCACAATATCACATCATAACATCACAACATAACATCACATCATCACATCATAACATAACATCATAACATCACAACATAACATAACATCATCACATAACATCACATCATAACATCATAACATCACATAATCACAACATCACATCACAATATCACATCATAACATCACAGCATAACATCATCTCATCATATCATAACATCACATCATAACATAACATCACATCACAATATCACATCATAACATCACAACATAACATCACATCATCACATCATAACATAACATCATAACATCACAACATAACATAACATCATCACATAACATCACATCATAACATCATAACATCACATAATCACAACATCACATCACAATATCACATCATAACATCACAACATAACATCATAACATCACAATATCACAATATCACATCATAACATCACAACATAACATCACATCATCACATCATAACATAACATCATAACATCACAACATAACATAACATCATCACATAACATCACATCATAACATCATAACATCACATAATCACAACATCACATCACAATATCACATCATAACATCATCTCATCATATCATAACATCACAACATAACATCACATCACATCACAATATCACATCATAACATCACATCATAACATCATCACATCATAACATCATCACATAACATCATAACATCATAACATCACATCATAACATCTAGAAAGGAGAAGTAAAGCGATACACATTCATCTTTTTCATAAGAACCTGTGGTGTTGTGTTCGGCTCTGCGTGCTCATGTGTTCATGTGTTCATATGTGGTGTGTGTTATTGTAGAGATATGATGGCTTCAGTCTCCAGAAGAACCTTTTATAGGCTTATATTCATTATTGCTTTCAACGGTTACGATACTCCTTTAAAAGCATGAGTGTTTAGTGTGTGTGTGTGTGTGAGTGTGAGTGTGTGTGAGTCTGTGTGTGTGTGTGTATGTGTGTGTTCTTCATGCATGATCAGATTCCTCTTTCTCTGAGTTTTTGAGTTGCTGAACTCTAGTTTTATATTTCAGGGGTTTTCACACTGTGTTCCAGGGAGCTCTATGGAGAAGATTAGGGGAAAACAGATAGATTAAATATATGTAAATAAATAACAGTACAGTACTATAGTGAATAGAAAAAAATAATGTAATAGAAATGAAGTGTTTTGCTAGGGCTGCCCCCTAACAGCCCACTAACGCTAGTCGGCGAGAAGAGTCAGTCCAACACATTCGAATTAGTTGGTTAGTTATTAGTTGGTTAGTTATTAGTTGGTTAGTTATTGTTAGTTGTGTGCTATTGTTATAGTCACATGACCCAGTGTTTGTGCAGAGATCACTTCCATTTCTTCCTGACAAAAGCGCAAAGAACTGAAAATCATTGTTGGTCATACAGATAAGAGTGATGCCTCATAAAGTGTCTACTTTTATCTGTGTTCACTCACAACAAAACTTGTGCTTTTGTAAAATAAAGAAAACAAACAGGACGAGCGTCTCGGTCTCCGCCAACTGCTCTGGTGAAGCGCACAGAAATAAACCGAAGCTCATACTTTAGTTTATACTCGCCTGACAGCCATATTCTATATGTCTATAGAAAGCTTGAAATGTCTACTTTTAAATGAATCAATTCAAATGTGAAAACAAATATTCTCAGATAACGTAAGCCGAGTGAAACGTGTCTTTCTCTGGATAGAGTCCACTCTTCAGCTTCATCTCTGCAGCCGACACTGACTCAGAAAACACTCATTTACCAATCAATTATTAAAATGTCCTGTAAGTCTCCTCGCTGTTCATAATCATTACTTTTCCTGTCAAGTCTTATGCTTGAGTGCTACTTCATATTTTAAAGGCTCTATATTATGGCTCTCTGTGATGTAGAGCAATGTCAGCACTGTATATTACATATTTAATGAATATGTTACATATATACACCCCCCTCCCCCAGTGTATATTTAATGAAATTAATATCATAAATGTGCAATTTGTCGACTATTCGCTTAAATGAATGACTACCAGTTGACTAGAAAAATCTTTAGCCCTAAATTTGACACATAATATTATTTTTCACTGTAACTGCCTGTCTTTTGATTTTTATGATGATTTTGACCTGTTTTATTGACTAAACTGTCGTGTGTTAATAAACTGTTAAACTCAGCGCTCAGGCGATCACATACACAACCGGTTCGTTTATCATGAACTGGTCGGATATTTCCCAGATGGCCTAGCGCCGGTTCTCCTGTTATCTGTGTAATATGTGCAGTCCGAGACGCATTATGAAGTCCGACTGCAGCGTCTCTCAGGCTCCAGATCTGGTTTCCATGTGTGAGTTTACTCTATTAATACGCCTCTTCTTACAGGATAAAACCAGCCTGACGCATTTATCAGCATATGTGTGTGTGAGAGAGAGTGAGAGAGAGAGAGAGAGAGAGAGAGAGAGAGAGAGAGAGAGAGAGACAGAGAGAGACATCTTCATCAGGAGCTGAGATATTAAACCTCTCATATTTGCATGTTTATTGCATTTTGTTTTTTACAGTTA